ACACACACACACACACACACACACACACACACACACACACACACACAGAGTTTGGGTTGTCTCAAACTGTTATAGTACTGCTTCCACAGAAAAAAATAATTGCTAAAATCTAGCCTCAGATTTTTTTTAACATTCCTTCTTAGTCATTCATTACAAATCTCCAAGCATCCCCTGCACCCACCAGATAGCAACAGGCACTCATGGCTATATAAGGACTCAACAATTGCCTTTGAATCCAACTATCTTTTCACCAATTGTAAACAAGTCCTAAACTCTTGGCTCCATAGAGAATGCCTACAAGTCAGTATAAACTCTGAAACAGGGGCAGAGGTCAAGTGACTGGGAGAGTTCAGCCTAAACTCTCAATCTCATCCCACCCCCCACCTTGTTCAAAAGAATCCCATCAGAAAGCACCTCCCAGCAAAAGGCCACATTGAGGAGACTGCCACATACTAGGCTGGGGCTTTAGAAGCACAGGGGAACTGCTAAAGCCAGGAACCACCTAATCACTGAGTGAATGCTATGGAGGAAGAGACATTAAGGGGAAACAGGGAGACTTACAAATTTATCTTAATATGATTTAGGAAAGAAACTGTCTCATAAAGGATACAACAGTCCTTAACGTGAGCCATAAAAGAAATTTCTTTGTGGACTTAATTCCCCAGTGAACTCTTCCAGCTTATGTCCAAAATCATCCTATAATGCAAAAGATGCTCAAATGATACTTTTTGAAAACCATCATAGCCAGTGATGGTGGTTCATTCCTTTAATGCCAGCACTTAGGCAGCAGAGGCAGGCTGATGGATCTCTGAGTTCAGAGTTAAGCCTTGTCTACAAATTGAGTTTCAAGACAGCCAGGACAGAAAAACTCTGTCTCAAAAGAAACAAAAACAAACAAACACTCATCATACACATAAAAATCATTATACTGGGCTTGGCATGATGGTCCATGCTTTTAACCTCAGCACTCAGACAAAAGCAATCAGGTCTGTACATTCAAGACTAGCCTGGCCTACAAAATGAGTTCCAGACCAGCCAGGGCTACAGAGTCTCAAAGGAAAGAGAAAAGGGAAAGGAGAAAGGGGGAAGGGGAGAAGGGGTAAAAGAGTGAAAGGGGGAAGGGGGGAAGGGGAAAGGGGGAGAAAAGGGAAAGGGAGAGGAGATGAAAAAGACATTATACTGTCTTCAACTCTTCATATGTATATATAAGACACACATATACATGGATATATATACTCACAAAAATATATATAAACTTTATTTCTTATTATACGTATGATGGGAGACCACAAGCCTGCCACATCTCATCTGTGAAGGTCAGTCAATGAACAACTCTATGGGATCAGTTCTTTTCTTTACATGGACTCCAAGGATCAAACTCAGGTCACCAGATGTGAGTAACAATCCCTCTACCTATTGAGCCATCCTGCCACACATAAACTCTTAAAAAAAAAAAAAGTAAAAAGTAGTGGCACAAGCCTTTAACTCCAATACTTGGGAGGCAGAAGCAGGCAGATTTCTGTGAGTTCAAGGCCAGCCAGAACTACACAAAGACCTTGTCTCCGATGATGATGGTGGTGATGATGATGGTGATGATGATCATGGAAACTGAACCAAGAACCTTGTACATACTAGCAAAAGGCTATGCCACTGAGCTATTTCTTCAGACCCACCATTATTAGCATTTGAGACTTAACAAAATTAAGGTGGCTACAGATAGTTCAGTTAAATAAGGGCTCTGTAGCCATATACTTCATGACATACTTTGGGGTCATTTCACCTTTTCAAGCAGGCCTCCTAGTTCTTATCTAAATATAGAATACTTAAAACAGCTTTTATAAATGTTAAATGAAAAAAATCAATGTTAAGCAGTTTGTAAATGTATATGTCAGTTTTCACTCTATGGTAAAAGCCACATAAGTTTGTATCTACCTTTCCTGTTAAACCTGCAACCCTTAACAGAATTGTGGCCTTTATACTGTGGCTAAAACTTGGCATATACAGGAAAGAGGAAGAAAAAACAGTACTGTATATTAAACAGGTCAAATCCTATAAATCAAATTTATCAAATGATCTCATATGACATACTCCTAACACACAACTGCTAGAATATATGCAGTGTCTGGCACAAAAGAAATGCCCAATAAATAGTATTTCTCAGGCTGGGACAAAGTCCAAGTGAATAAACTTCTTGCCATCCAAATAAATTGAACCTGAGTTCAGATCCCCAGAACCCATGCACCTATAATCCCACTATTCCTACAGAGCTAGGAGGCAAAGACAAGAATTCCCCAGCAGTCTGTGAGCAATATGTAGCACTGTAAAAAACCTGTCTCGGTGGCTCCTACTTAACCTTCATTGTGCTGCTTAGATAGACCAAGGCCGTCAAAAAAAAAAAAAAAAAAAAACCTGTCTCAAGGTAAACAATGAAGCCCAACACCCAGTGTGCCCCTGTACTGGCTGGTTTTGTGTGTTAATTTGACACAAGTTAGAGTCATCGGAGAAGGAGCCTTCTTTAAGGAAATGCTTCCATGAGACCCAGCTGTTAGACATTTTCTTACTTAGTGTTCAGTGAGGGAGGGCCCAGCCCATGGTGGGTAATGCCATCCCTGGGCTGGTGGTCCTGGGTTCTATCAGAAAGCAGGCTAAGCAAGCCATGTGAATCAGGCCAGTAAGCAGCATCCCTCCAAGGCCTCTGCATCAGCTCCTGCTTCCAGGTTCCAGCCCTGTTTGAGTTCCTGTCCTGACTTCCTCCAGTGATGAGCTATGATCTGAAAGTATAAGCCAAATAAACCTGTTCCTTCCTCAGCTTGCTTTTTGGTCATGGTGTTTCATCACAGCTAAAAAAATAAAAAATAAAACCCTAAGAGAGCCTCTGACTTCCACACATATGCTGTGGTACACACAAAATGAAATAAAAATACCTATCTTTTAAAAATAGCATTTATCTTTCCTTTGTTAATATCAACTATTCAATTTTATATTGATTATCTGCAGACAATGGTTGGACCTATCTGTATTACCTGCCCACCTTTTTAAGGTTTATTTTCTGTTTGTGGGGATTTTGTCTGCATGTATATATGGGCACCATGTGTGGACACTGCAATCAGAGGTCAGAAGAGGGCATCAGATCCCCTGGAACTAGAGTTACACATGGTTGTGACCTGCCATGTAGATACTCGAAATTGAACCTGGGTCCTGTGAAGGGCAGATAGTATTCTTAACCTCTGGTACAGCACCTGTACTATTTTTAATATCAAAAGTTATGATATATTGCCAGGTGTGGTGATGCATGCCTTTATTCCAAGCACTTGGGAAGCAGAGGCAGGTAAATCCTGGACTGCCTGGGCTACACAGAGAAGCCCCATATCCCAAAGTCTCCTTGAGATCCCAAGATACCTGATAGCTACTTGAAAAGCCAGAACAAGCTAGTGGTGACAGGCTATCGTACAAAGCTGTTCTTTATCTTGATTGCACACTTCACTATCTTCCACATATCCCCAATGAGGAGTCATTTTACAAGTATGCTAGGAAAAGCTAAAGACTGACTGACTTAAAGTCTCTGAAATCAGAGCTGTTTTAGGGTTTTGTTTGTTTGTTTATTTGGCTTTAAATTTTGTTTTGTTTTGGTTTTTGATACAATGTCTCACTATATAACCCAGGAAAGCATGACACTCAAGGACCTCCAGTCACAACCTCTCGAGTTCTACGATCATAAGTATGTATCAGCATGCCTAGCTCATTTCTCTCTTTTTTCCTTAACTTGGCTTATTTTTTTCAATCAATTTCAGAAAATATG